ACGCTTTCAGAATCATGTTTGGTTGAAAATTAACGCCTGTACAGAGACTTAAAGTTCATAACTTTTGGAGCCTCCGTTATAAACAAATTGAATTATGCGAAAACTATTGCACCTACAGCTCCCACTTTTGGCACACTTTTAAAGTATGACAAAACCCTCAACTTGTCATAGGTTTTATAAAATTTTAACAGTAAATACGATAGTTATAAACAAATTAACAAATGGTCACTTTTCTTGTTTTTTTTGCAATAACTTTTTTGTTTATTAACCGATTTTAATTCAACAAGTCTCATTTTGTAGATAATTTTATTTCCTACAAGATGCCTGTGTTTAAATAAAAAGGTTATCTAATAAAAGTTGTTGACTCACGAGATGAGAGATGTCTTTATGTTCCTTTAGACAATTTTACAATAATCTCGCGGATAGGACTTTATTCGAGTACAAAAATTTAATTTGCTTGGTTTATACCTACCTATCTGTATTTTATATTTCACGATTTTCTGGCAGAATTTAACAAGAAATGTAGCGCGCCTCGAATCAGCAGATATTTGACAACACTGTGAGAAATTATTAACTTCGTGACCAGCAACTGGTGCGGAAATATTAGTCTTCAAATGTGGACAATGAAAAATTGCATTCGAAATATTATATTAATTGAAAAAAAACCATACCTCATCAGGGATCGAACCCCGAACCATTAGATTACCAGTACAACGCGCTACGCTTTAAGCCACAAGACCACGTTTATTTAGTTTCGAAAACCTGGTTTATATCCTTAACGTTGTGCCTCTTGTGATATAAACAATAATTATGATTATTTTTTGACGTTTCTTAAAACCAATGAAATGCTTCTTTATTTGTCACAAGGGTAAGTTTCAACCAATTATGTCATTATTATAGTGGGAATAAATCTCTTGTGATNTCATGTAGAACGTGACTCCTTCAACTATTAGAATCGCGATCTCAGGAATGGTGATTCTTAAAAAAAAAGTATAAGGACCATTTTTGAAGATAATTTTGAGATCTATAATTTTTGTCCGAGCAACTTTTTTGATAAAACTTACCGTTTTCGAAAAAAATCCAAAAACTTTTGACTTTTGACCTCGAATAACTTTTTTAGCACACATGGGATCGATGGGGACTTTTGACACTTTATTTCTGATGGTGTACCCAAGGTCTCCACCAAAATTTAGCTCTGTCGGAATTTTCGTTATTTGAAATGTCTATTTTGACCGGGCTACATAGAGAACCAATGTTATGTGATTATCATTTAAATTCAAGCAATAAGACGCATACCCAGAGAAATTGACATTTTCCATGTATGTTTTTTCATATTATAATTTTTTTTTGAGACTTTGAAAAAGTCACTTTAATTTTTGTTAGATCAGAAGCACTTCTAACAAAAGATTATTCCATATTGTGAGTGAAATATAAAGCAGGTGTGTTTTCGTAGTATTTCCCGGCCAAAAGTTAATCAGCTTAACATCCTTCGTGAAAGAATCCTATACATCCCCCAATATTTTTTCCTATCTCGGATTATCTGCTTACCGTTCCGCTATATGTCACCGGGGGCGTCGGACACTTCTATTTACCGTTTTATTTGCCCCTTAAATCGAAGCAGGCAAGAACCAACTTCAGATAAGCGAGATAAGCAAAACTCCCATCGAATTCAGAATACGTAAAATACAGGGTAAAATCTAAAACATTTCCTTTAAATTTTACTTTTTTATTCCAATTTTTTTTCGCTATTAATCACGCGCTCTACAAAGGAAACGGCACCTCTGCGTAAATCATACGATTTAAAGTTCACCCTGTACAAATGGGTCATTATTAACAAACGATAATGTCACTTACACCCCCTGGGACAGCTCCATATAGGCGGACACCGCCAAACTCGAGTCGCTGGAATCGTGGACGAAGTAAACATCCTGCAGGCCGGCGACGTTTTGGAGAGTCACCGTCACGTTGTGCAGCCGATTCGCACTTTTTATGTAGGCGATTCTGAAAGTGGATCTGTGAGTTTTACTGCTTGCCACTTACCGTGTCGCAACCTTATACGCGGCGTACCACTTATCGACTTTTGGAAATCCACCGGGTCAGTTACGTAGGCCTGGATCTCGTCCATTGAGTTTATGCCGATGAGGACGGTGTCGATCTGTTTAACATTTTAAACAAACTAGAGTATGTTCTTGAATTAATCCGAAACCACATAAATAGCAACGAAATTAAGCCGCGATTGATACGCATGAAGCGAAAACTATCATAGGATCAATAGACCGTATATACACCAGGAAAATTAGCGAAAATAAAAGAGAAAATGGGCGCTGTAGTTGGAATAGTTTTCGCACAATTCAATTTGTTTATAACGGAGGCTCCAAAAGTTATGAACTTTAAGCCTCTGCACAGGCGTTAATTTTCAACCAAACATGATTCTGAAAGCGTCATTGTAATCTTAAAGACGTAATTAAGCGACCTATTAAAAAATATCACCGTTTTTTGAACTTAANCTTTATATATTAAAATTTCAAGGAGTTAAAATTGTAATTTTATCGACCGCATTATTTTTATTAATATTTTTTAATTTTGAGAATTTTGCAACAAAATCAAATGCTTTTTATTCTTTTTATAAATTTTTTAACAATAAATAATAATTTGAAAATAATTTGTGAATTTTTACTTCAATTTTACATTTAAATCGTAATTAAAAAATGAGTTTACTTTGGCTTAATATGTAAAAAAATTACTTTTTAAATGAACGATTGCTTCATTTATTTATTTAATAATAGTAAAATAATTCCGAAATTGAAATTTTAATTAATATTTCATTTAACAATAATTTTTGTGACATTTTTGTAAATTCAAAAAAATTCAGTATAAAAGATGAATTTTTTTTGGGGTTCAGGTCTATTTTACGATTTCGTAAATATGCCCATTGTTATTTTTTCGTCGAGCTACTCAGTTTAAAAAAAAAAAGGAGTTTCTACGATAAACAGTAGCCGACATATTGCAAAATTTTACAGCGCACATCAATTTGAACTTTGGATTTCACTTTCTCGCGGCTTGCTTGGACGAGCATCCCCCTTCACCACGCCGGACAGTTTACTTAGCAAGTACCTTTTCTTTAACGGGCTCGTGAGTCGTTAATTTTCCATATTTTTCAATGCAATTCATGGGAAATCGTAGTTTACATCGTAAACTTTATTTTTACGAAAAATTCAAGTCTTAATGTTTATAAACAATTGCGCTACGATTTAAAAAAAAAATTCTTATCTTAGCTTCTGTTGGTCGTAGAGGGTACTTTTTTAAATTTGTATTTTTTGCCAGCTATCCATTGCATCTATTTTCGGTGAGGTAGCACAAATAGCAACAATTTTATTCAAATTATTTATAAGCGAAAAACGCATGTTTTTTTAATGCACAATTTGAGAATGTTAATGTCAAAAAAATTGTGATATTTTTTAATAGGTCGCTTAATTATGTCTTTAAGATTGCAATGACGCTTTCAGAATCATGTTTGGTTAAAAACACCTGTACAGAGGCTTAAAATTTATAACTTTTGGAGCGTCTGTTACAAACAAATTGAATTGTGCGAAAACGATTGCACCTACAGCCCCCACTTTTGGCATACTTTTAAAGTATGACAAAACCCTCAACTTGTCATAGGTTTTATAAAATTTTATCAATAAATGTGATAGTTATAAACAAATTAAAAAATGGACACTTCTTGTTTCTTTACAATAACTTTTTTGTTTATTAACCATTTTAATTTAACTAGTCTCATTTTGTAGATAATTTTACTTCCTATAAGCTGTCTGAGAGTCACTTTTCGCTAAAATTGATGGTTTTCCCTGCAAAGTGAAAAACTGTTTTTCTCACTTATTTGTTTAAATAGAAAACAGGCAATGTAGCGCGCCTCGAATCAGCGGATATTTGGCAACACTGTGAAAAATTATTTACTTCGTGACCAGCAACTAGTGCGGAAATATTTGTCTCGAAATGTGGAGAATAGAAAATTACATTCGAAATATTATATTAATTGAAAAAAAAACAAACCTCATCAGGGATCGAACCCCGAACCCTTAGATTACTAAGATAACGCGTAACGCTTTGAGCCACGAGACCACATTTATTTTATTTCGATAACCTGACATATATTTAACGTTGTGCCTCTTGTGATATAAACATTAATTATAATGAAAATTTCACAATAGTATTTTTCAGCCAATTAAAGGCCTGTATTTTGTAGCGTTACTATAGCAACTAAGAAAATTTCCGGAAATTTTTCTCTTCCTTGGGGTAAGGAGCATGAAATTACACTGGAAATTTTTTGACATTTATAAATAAAATGACATTTATATTTAACTTCAAATTTATTCTATCATAATTTAATAAGTACAAATCATTTATAAATAATTATTTACCAAGTATGTACTTTTAGTAGTTTTAATTAAAGCGTCCAAATGTTGCTGAAATTCCTCAGCCACGTCTTCTTTTCTTAATGGGGAATAAACAAGCACACATTCACTAAAATTTATAAAATGTCTATGTTTCAAAAAATAAATGTAGTACTTTGAAACAATCTTATTCTGCTGTGATCCACGAAGAGCTCCATATTTCTTACACACAAGAAGCAAATGATTTTTAATAATCCCAAACAAGTTTGGCGAATAAATTTCTGGCCCGCATTCTTGTAATAAATACATTAAAAATTTTAGGTTCCGATGATACATTTTAATTTCACTAACTTTTTTGCAAAACTTGCATAAAACGTATTTCTCAAACCGCTCCATTTTTCAATTGTACAACACAACGATTTTAAAGAAAATGGTCAAATAACGTCAAAAGTCACGATTACCTTGTTTGACATGGATTCCATGGCCTTCTTAATAATATATACATATGAATTTTATTGATATTACATAGTGCTTAAGGTTCTTTGTAAGAAAATATATTTCTACCAACTTTAGTAAAATGAGTATGTGGAAAACTGAGGGATTGATCTACTATCGACTTATTTTTTATTATTTTGCTTAACTAAAGTCGGTTAGTTGTATTTTATTTAACCTAATGTTATATGTATGTAAGTTACTTTGATTATATATACTGCTTCAAGTTTTTTTGCAATAAAATATATTTTTACCAACTTTAGT